TGGTTTGAACTAAACGCACTTTGATTATCAAGACATTTGTAAAATAGTAATGATAATAAGAGAGTGTTCTTTCAATTGATCAGTGCAGGACACACTTAGAAAGTCTCTGGATGAACTTAATTTTGTGTTTCTGGACTCAAATCAATGAAATAACAGTTCTTGTCCCAGAAAGGCCCTCAGGGCCAGATTTGACCTGAGGCTTAGTTCACTACATTGTCTTTTTGCAAATGCTTTTGTAGGGGAATATATGTACAAGATATTGGACTTCTGGTCCTGTCAAACTCCTACCCTTTATGTTCACATACTCTGGACTGGCCTCACCTCGAACATATACAAACCATGAGTTCTTGTAGCGAACTTAATTCCTGTCCCTCAAAGAAAACACAAAGAATCCGTAATTTAAATACAATTCTGAAGCATTTATTTTCAGTTTGAATTATGACATGAAAATTATGGCAAATACAGTGCCTTGCGAAAGTATTCGGCCCCCTTGCATTAATACTTTGTAGCACCGCCTTTCGCTGCAATTACAGCTGCAAGTCTCTTGGGGTATGTCTCTTTCAGTTTTGCACATGGAGAGACTGAAATTCTTGCACATTCTTCCTTGCAAAACAGCTCGAGCTCAGTGAGGTTGGATGGAGAGCGTTGTGAACAGCAGTCTTCAGCTTTTTCCACAGAGTCTCGATTGGATTCAGATCTGGACTTTGACTTGGCCATTCCAACACCTGGATAAGTTTATTTGTGAACCATTCCATTGTAGATTTGGCTTTATGTTTTGGATCATTGTCTTGTTGGAAGATAAATCTCCATCCCAGTCTCAGGTCTCTTGCAGACTCAAACAGGTTTTCTTCCAGAATGGTCCTGTATTTGGCCCCATCCATCTTCCCATCAATTCTGACCATCTACCCTGTCCCTGCTGACGAAAAGCAGGCCCAAACCATGATGCTGCCGCCACCATGTTTGACAGTGGGGATGATGTGTTCAGGGTGATGAGCTTTGTTGCTTTTATGCCAAACATATTGTTTTGCATTGTGGCCATACAGTTCAATTTTGGTTTCATCTGACCAGAGCACCTTCTTCCACATGTTTGGTGTGTCTCCCAGGTGCTTGTGGCAAACTTTAAACAACACTTTTTACGGATATCTTTGAGAAATGGCTTTCTTCTTGCCACTCTTCCATAAAGGCCAGATTTGTGCAGTGTACGACTGATTCTTGTCCTATGGACAGACTCTCCCACCTCAGCTGTAGATCTCTGCAGTTCATCCAGAGTGATCATGGGCCTCTTGGCTGCATCTCTGATCAGTCTTCTCCTTGTTCGAGATGAAAGTTTAGAGGGACGGTCAGGTCTTGGTAGATTTGCAGTGGTCTGATACTCCTTCCATTTCAATATGATTGCTTGCACTGCTCCTTGGGATGTTTAAAGCTTGAGAAATCTTTTTATATCCAAATCCGGCTTTAAACTTCTCCACAACAGTATCTCGGACCTGCCTGGTGTGTTCTTTGGTCTTCATGATGCTCTCAGTGCTTTGAACAGAACCCTGAGACCATCACAGAGCAGGTGCATTTATATGGAGACTTGATTACACACTGGTGGATTCTATTTATCATCATCAGTCATTTGGGACAACAATGGATCATTCATAGATCCTCACTGAACTTCTGGAGTGAGTTTTCTGCACTGAAGGTAAAGGGGCTGAATAATATTGTACGCCCCACTTTTCAGTTTTTTATTTGTTAAAAAAGTTTGACACATCCAATAAATTTCATTCCACTTCACGATTGTGTCCCACTTGTTGTTGATTCTTCACAAAAAATTACAATTTTATATCTTTATGTTTGAAGCCTGAAATGTGGCAAAAGGCTGAAAAGTTCAAGGGGGCTGAATACTTTCGCAAGGCACTGTATGAAATATGAATGAACAACCAATAATATTATTTTAGAAAGTAAATGGCTTAAATCTGAGGACTTTGAGAAGGAGTTTTGATTCAATTTGAACTAAGGTCTATCTCTTAATGTTAAAATTTAGATAAGTTTATCTCAGATTCATGAATTAAATTATCTAAACAAACTTAGTTGGCACTGTTCAGTGGTCCTCTCATCAGAAGGAAGATGTTCATCTCTCATTACCACAGCGGATGCATGAAGGAAGCCGGTGGCCCGCTGTCCCAAAAAGGATGTCATTTCTCAGGGCTGCGATCCGTTCGGCTCGTACCTTTAGCTCCTGGGTGTTTGAGGTTTTTCAGGATGTCCACCATCTCTCAGTTGGGCATGTCTTCCATCATATGGCTGTTGTTTCTCAGGGAGTCTCATCAATTCTCCACAACCACGCTTTCTATCTGCTCAGCTCAGCTGATGATCCAAAGCCAACTTTCCTCATAGGTTGCCGTCTCACAACTCCCTCGGTGTTCAGTATACCTGGCACCAGGAAGACGGGCCCCGTAACTTTTAACCAATCAGAGGGCTTCTTACAGTAGGAGTATCCCACTGTATAATTAATGTAATTAAAATTTCCCTTCTCAAAGTTCTTCAGAGAAGATAATACAATGACCCTTTGTTAAGGATGTGTGACACCATGCTGATACAAACAAAATGGGTTTCTTTGAATCAGAACTTCAACTGGGGTGTTAACTTCCTTTATTGTCATGGCGACCAGTCTCTGTTGATAAGGCCAAGTGAAGCTCTTTGATCAAGACCCTTCTTCAGGAGTCTCAAAGTCTGGTGACTCAACATAGAAGGTGAATTACATGAAGGGGGTCCAGAATCATGCAACATGTCAGGGTGGTCCCAGTTGTAGATTTTAACACACACAGAGAAGGTTAACAAAGAAACTTCCTGAGCTAGAAAACAGAATGTCATTATGCTGGTGAAGATTCTCAGTCATCCAGGACATGATGAATTCAAAAAGTGTTCAATACAAAAACAACTGGACTTTATTTGTAACAGAAGACGTTTCGCTCCTCATCCGAGGAGCTTTCTCAATTCAAAGAACAGAGAGTGAGAGATACAGGTTATAAGGCTGAGTGAGATAAGACACACACACACATAAGACACACACACACACATATATGTAGATTGGCAGTTCACACCTAAAAACCTAAACAGTAGGTCTTTGTTCCTCTAATTCACAGTCGAGGCCCCTCTGTTGCCATCAGGTGTGAAAACCGGCTAGAGATCTGTTTTAAAGTTGCATTGAGTTGCGTTGAAAGTGGAAATCTGAGGCCTCCTCCTCTGTTAAGAGACGGCTTTTCTCTTTTTACATAAATTGCTTCCTTCACCCCACTCTCAAACCATCTGTGTTCTCGGTCCAAAATGTGCACATTTTGGTCCTCAAAAGAGTGTCCCTTATCTGTGAGGTGGAGGTGAACTGCGGAATTTTGTCCAGAGGAGGTGGCTCTCCTGTGTTGAGTCATGCGTCTGTGAATCTGATTATCTGATGAATCTGATGTGAATCATCTGTCTCAGATTAGCAGGAAAGGAGGGGGTAGAGTAGACGTAGTGTCTCTGAGGACATTTGTCTTAAGGTTCTTGGAAGGATGGACACTACACTTTCAATGTTTAAAGCCTTATTTTTTTGCTCCTCAGTTTTACAAATTATCATTAGATTACCATCTTTCAATATCTTTGCCATTTCTACATCTCCAATTTTCTTTTTTATTTCTCTTGACAGTACAATAGGTTTAAGGTTTCCCTGTTCATCCTCTTTGTTGAATCTTAGTATTATTTTGAATACCTCCCTCACCATTTTCCTACAAATCACTCTATCTTCATATGACCTGCCCTCTTCTAATCCTCTTCTATTTCCCAGACTTTCAAAGAATCTCCTTCCATCTTGCCTATGCCACCTTCCTTACCGTTCCTTCTCCCACCACCAACTGGTGTCCACTCCTCAACGCTCATGTCATCCTTCGTATCTCCTACCTGATTCGCCATTTTGATCCATTCACACACCATCCATCCATTCATTAACTTTACGCGCCTCTTTTTTTGGGGGTCACAGGGGTCGCCAGTGCCCATGTCCAGCAGTCACTGTACGAGGGGCGGGGGACACCTGGACAGGTCTCCAGTCCATCACAGGGCCACATAGAAACAAACAACCATTCACTCTCTCACTCACACCTAGGGACAATTTAGAGTAACCAATCAGTCTAACATGCATGTTTTTGGTCTGTGGGAGGAAACCAGAGTACCTAGAGAAAACCCACGCATGCACGGAGAGAACATGTAAACTCCACCCAGAAAGGCCCTTGGACCGGGATTTGAACCAGGATAACCTGCTCACTGAGAGGCAGCAGCTCTACCAACTGCACCACTGTGCTGCCCCCATTCACACACCAGTTTATGCCAAACCTCCAAATCCAAAAAATGATCTGAAAAAACTGTTTAGGCAATTTTCGGCTCTGATCAACTCCAACCAGCACAGCTGCAGATGATCCTCACATGTTGTCTTCTTCAAGTTTTCCACCGTTCAAAGCAGATGATCAGCCTTGTTAAATAAATAGAATAGTTTATTTCAGGTTCAGGTCATTTATAGTAACCAAATTGTCATTCCAAGTAGTTGCTTTTGTCTTATCATAAATTTTACAAGCTTTTTTAAAGTATTTCATATTGTAATTAGTTGCTTTTGTGTGCAACACTTTGGCCAGTGGCAGTTGATTCTAAAAGTGCTATATAAATGGATTTGATTTGAATGAATACTATTATAAATAAAGTATAAAGACAACAAATCTGTTCGAATTACAATTGTTATTGTAGGACTGAACACACACACACATTAATCCTGTTAGTAAATTATTTTTTTTATTAAATACATATCCAAGTAAAATAAGTTTTGTTGATATATGACAAAGATATTCAACAATGTGTTACTGATATTTTTTAATAAGTTTTTTAGCAAATGATTATACATCTACATTGGACCTCTAAAAGTCTGTAATAACTGCTTCATAATGTTAAACAGATAATGGGTCTTTTCTTTTTTTCTTTGTATTTTCTGAATGCAGAACCTTCTGGTGTGTTTTCATAGTGGGTCAGACAGTTTTTCTGGGGATGCCTGTGAGGTGAAGGTGGCAGCTCCGTCTCACTCTCCATCAGCCGAAGCTGAGTATTGGAGGGTCAAAGCCATGGCTCAGCAGGTCAGTATGAATTTATTTTCATTTTGATGATATTCACTGTTTTTATTTTGTTTGTTTGTTTTAATAACCTAAAATTTTAATAATTTGCGGTGAGTCTCTCTCTCCCTCCCTCCCTCTCTCTCTCTCCCTCCCTCCCTCCCTCCCTCCCTCCCTCCCTTTCTCTCCATTTATTCATTATTATTATTTTTTTATTTATTTATTTGTTCCAGGTCTTTATGTTAGACACTCAATGCTCTCCAAAGACACCCAACAACAAAGAAGGCTTTGAGCATGCTCAGTCCTGTGTGCTCATCATTGAGCTGCCATCTGACCAACAGTCCAACGGACACACACAGAACAGGTGGACACACAAAAGCACAAGCTCCTGCATGGTTCTGTCTCTGAATGATCGTAGTTATTGTTTGTGTTTTCATTCTCTAACTATACTCCATTGCTCCCTAGTGAAATTGTTTAATTCACATGATTTATGCCAATATTTTAGTCTCAGATTGTTTTTGTTTTTGTTCAAGCTAAACCTAAACAATATTTTTAATAAAAATTCAGAGTAAAGTTACATTAACTCTTTCTGTTTGTCTTTCTGCTGCTGTGCTGCAGGAAAATAGGGTAAGATTGTTTTGTCTGCCTTCAGTGGCATTGTGTTTGTAAGATTTAATAGTGTGACAGATGTTCACATGGAGCATACATCTGTAGAATGTTTAAAACTGTAGTTAATTTGAAACGGATCCTGCCGGAACAAGATCCGGGAATGCTCTCATTTTGACCCGTTCTGTTCCGGTAACTCTGTCCTCGGATCCGTCAACTCTGCCCCTAAAAGTTCAAAGTCATAGCGCATTTGTAGTTTGCTTATTTATAAAAAAAAAAATACAACGAGAAGAGACGTTGCCCTCAGCCCGGCGGACCCAGTCTGTGGATATTCCAGCCGCAGCACGTGCGGCGCACCAGCAGAAGAGGAGCCTCTAGGCGGGGGTGGGTGGGGGGTGGTGGGTGAGGACAGGTCAGATAGTCACATTTACGCACAGAGATAGTGCGCGGAGTCCTTGTCTCCTCTTCCTCTCCAAATATTGTCCCTCTTCAGCGGGGCCGCGCAGTGAAAAACACCCCCTCTCCTCCTCTCAGACCCCTGAAACAAAAATGATAATTTATTCAACAGAATAAATAAATCCCCTGTGGACAGTGCATGTTACGCACAGTAATGTCTCATCTCTGCCCAGCGCACGCACATCAGCAGGTGTTTGAACTCCTGCTACATTTCAGGCATAAATAAAAAAGGTTAATGTAAAAAATAAATTAAAAATACAAAGAGAGAAATGTTTGATGTGTTATTCACATTATACGTCATGTCTAAAAAAGTTAAATCTGGTCCTCTGGACATTCAAAAAAACAAAACAAAGCAAATCAACAAAAAAAAATGTATAAACGTTTCGTCTCTCATCCGAGAGACTTCCTCAGTCTGAGGTGCTGTTTTCAGCTCAGTCTCTTAAATAGCACCGTCTCAGGGTGGATCAACCAG